CATTATGAGGCATCTTCTTGTTATTGTCGCCGATAGATACTTGATCCGCAACCTTTATATGCTCTGAATCATGAATAGCAGAAACCATAAGCTATGTCATAAAACAAGGTTCTCAAATACCATATCATAAAAGTTCCCATACAATTTTACGAGTGATAACAACACATTACTTTGTGTCATTTGTTTACGACTCACGTTAAAGCACAATGTCAATGTCAATTACTATTTGTCGTGTAGACACTGCCGTTTCTAAGCCTAGCCGAGGTCGTGACTGGAAACGTGGACTTGCTTAAGGCTCCACCTGTGTCCGACCATCAAAGGAAAATAACCTTTCAACCGTCAACACCAAGAACGAAATTCCCTTATAGGATGAAATGACTCATCAGTACAGTCACGAGCGGTAATAATTTATCATTTAAAAAATGGGATTAAAGGGTTCTATATTTTATTTATGATGTAATAAAAACTAAACGGCTTGTAGACAAGCGGCGTGTTTGGGACATAATTTTTTGTCTGTTACAGTACTTGCTTTAATATTTTTTCGGTAGTAAAAGTGTTTACGTTCGTAGTAAGCTTGGTTTGCGTGGAACTGATTACAAACTGATATGCCAATAGGTATTATCCGCGTATCTGGTAAAGTAGGGAGTGCATCGTTAACCCTCTAAGCTGATAATGGACCGGACGCGCGTGAAATGGAGTAGAAAATATTAAATACTAGGAACCTCCCACACCGATATTGATTTTATCAGTCAGTTTCTCTGAGTTTGTACTTATAACGGAAAATAGGTATTTGTTAAATACTAAACTACTTTACGTAAAGTCAATAGTCATATTTGTTTAGATTTAGACACTGAGGGCCGATTTTTACTACGCCAGATTAATTTAACTGAGGGATAACTTTTTTTTTATGGCATAATCCGGTAAACGAGCAGACGGATCACCTGATGGAAAGCAATCGGCGTCGCCCATGGACACCTGGAACACCAGAGGCGTTACAAGTGCATTACCGGCCATTTGGGTATTAGGAATTTGAGGATTGGGGAGATTGGGGAAGGGGAGGGTAATTGGGTCTCCGGTAACCTCACTCACACGACGAAACACAACGCAAGCGTTGCTTCACGTCGGTTTTTTTGTGAGGCCGTGGTATCACTCCGGTTGAGCCGGCCCATTCGTGCCGAAGCATGGCTGTCCCACACTGAATATTTGACAATTCTTACATACTGAAACCTTTCAAATGTCTATTTTATTCTACAATTGAAAATTGCCTGAATAATTGGACCTACCTCTAAATCGATAAGTTTTAGTGTGTTATATCATCATTTAACAAATGAACTGTAATTGTTCAATTTGCCTTGACAATACATGTAAAAAAGACCATGAACTTATTACCTACTTATCTATATTTCTATTTATTTATTTACATAGCAATCACCGTGTAATATTGTATAAAGTATACAGCAATTTAATTCATGGTTACTATAAGATAAAGTTGTTCTGTCTATCAACCAAGGCAATAGAGGATAATAATGATACATTACTATTACCTACTATTAATAAAATGAACTAACAGTATTGATGAACGTGTCCATATATTTTTTGCGTTTTTACAATTTTATTGGCTTGCAATAAAGACGGTTCGTAATAAAATCTTTTAGTTATTTTTAAAGCATAGTTACTTACCGAATGTTTACATATAGGTACTAGCTTTTGCCCGCGGTTACGACCGCGTATTCCTGTTTTATCCTATGAGAGCATTTAATCACGTATGTCAGCCTTCCTGTGTACCAAATTTAGTGGTGGCCCAGAGGTTTAAAACGCCCGCTTCTCATGCTTGAGGGTACGGGTTCGAAACCTACCAACGGCAAGTACCAATATGACTTTTTCCGAGTTATATATACTTTCTAAGATTATCCAGACACCACTGACAAACTGTGAAGGAAAAACATCGTGAGGAAACCTGGGCTTATAATTTCTAATTATAAGTTTGCAATCGCCAACCCGCATTGAGCAAGCGTGGTGATTAATGCTCAAACCTTCTCCGTGTGACAAGAGGCTTTGTTCAGCAGTGGGCATTTATAGGCCGTTGAACTCATACCAAATTTCATCAAAATCTTTCTTTCAAAGTCCTTCCTTTTTATATGACTATACTTTTAAACTAATGAGAAATTCCAATATAACTCTTCTAATCTTTCTCCGTTATACTGGTACAGATCGAATCGTCGATCGATCGTGGGTGGCAGAGGCCTCGAAGATAGTCTAGCCAGCCTAGATATGACAAGATAGAAATCGGATACTACTTATTACAAAAGTAGACACAGTATATTGGTTGTCATAAATATAATCTCATTTGGAACGTGTAAAAATACGTTCACCCCAAAACGGGATGATGTGAGGGTCAAGCTATTTTGTCTAGGCTTAATTATGAAACTTGTTTAGTTAGCTAGGTATTATATTCATAGCATGAGATGCTGGAATAACTTGATCAGTTACGTACTATCTCATTAATAAAGTCGTATTTGGTTCAACTTTTGCATTTGACTACATACGCCCTTGATAGTTATGTTGCTTTCAGTCGATATACAATAGTTTGCTCCTTTAAAACATTTTTGAGGTGAGTAGTGTGGTGGTTAATAACTTGAGGGACTGTATGTCGATCATCTTGTCTCACGTAAATATACAAGCAAAGCTCTACTAGTTTCGAGTCACAGAGGGACTCTTCCTCATGAGCAGCTTACGCGGACGCGGTAACTAATCAATCCTGGCCTAGGTCTAACCTGACTACCACAAAACAACAAAATTCTTAATACAGAAAAAGAATTTTTGAAGCTTATTTAATAAAAAAACCGTCTAGTTATCGTAACGTAGAATCAGTCGCGGAGAACCTAACGGGTAACCGGGGCTCCGGCTCGACGTGCAGGAGAAGGAACGGGGTGGTTTTTAGTCAGTAAGACTGACACTCCCTCCCGCCTCACCCAGGCGGGAGTAGTCATTCGATGATTTTCCCCCCTTTAAAAAAAACCTATATAGAATCAAGTTTTGAATGATTATGAACTTGATTCAATGAATAAGTACGTTAGTTACCGGTTTATGCTTACGTCATGATTACTGGGATTTGTGGCCAGTAAACGTAATGAATCCATAACGTAAAATAAATAATTAATTTAATTTTCATGCATTACTTATCGGCTTGCCTGTATCGAGGGAAATTATGGAAATCTCTTTTTATTTAATTAATTCGAAATGAATATGAGATTATGTTAATGATATCTGTAATGTATGATTTGCATAATATAACATTGCGACTGTTATTTCCCAAAATGGTACGATTGGACTTTGGACGTGTAATGAGTCACATGTAGTTAAAAGCAAATCTATTCTCATTCAAAATAATTCTTTTTTTGAAAAAGAGGAGGTTGGAGTCGGTTTTTTAATTATACTAATACTTTCCCCTGAATGTAAAAATACTTTTATAAAAAGCGCATCAAAATTGGTTCAGCCAATCGTGAGATAATCGCGCACAAGCACAAATATATATATACATACAGGTCAAACTGGAAACCTCCTTTTTTGAAGTCGGTTAACTATTCTCATTCAACAAAATACATCCTATTCTTAGTGAGATTTTCGAAAAATGTTTTAGTCGTCGCAGTCGGCGCAGTCAAAGTTATAAAAAAAAAGAAAAACCGTTTATTACTACCAGTTATACCTACCAGTTCAATGAATAAAACAAAAATCAAATACAAATTGAATATTAGTTTTGACAACGTGTCATACATACACTATGTCATACGAATGTTTCGGATTACCACGAAACCACAGTCGGTTACTTAACCATATTGGCTTATTAGTTTAATTAACAGCGTCGGTTAAGGGTTACGTTAACCGATTCCAGTTAACTGCACTAAGTGTAGTTGATGTAACTGAATAAGCGGGTTAGTCGCGATTTACTGGATTGAGTTTAAGGCTTTAGTAGATACAGTGGTTCTCAACCAGTGATCCGCTGAAGACAAACATGGTCTGATAAATGAAAAAAAAATACACAAGACTACCCTTCCATCCAATAAATACCACGGTTAAGACTCGAATTAAACTTATCTTAAAGAAGAAGGAACTGATTTTTTATAATCTAAAAGTTACTGTATTTATGGATGAAAGAAGTAATATTAGTAGTGGTGCCAACTAAGAATGATGGAAAGTGTTCGGATAAGGAAAAGGTTGAGAAGCTCTGATTTACTACGATGTAAATCTAATGTATGTTACTGCTGACGACAGAAGTAGGTCAGCACTGTGTTTGAATTAACTTGACAATTATTACTTGTTTGTTACGAATTCATTGTTTTCAGGAAGATCGTGTTTTGTGAACGAATGTCCGTGTAGTTGCTTGTTGATTTCCGCGAATTGTTTGTGTGATAAAAATTGGATTGTGTACTGCTCCGACTCTCTTTTTAGCGTGGTGGATTTGATTTGTCTGTTTTTCTGCGAACTGTTCCTAGGGCACACACCCTTTCGTTGTTGTTATTGTTTTCGTATAAGACAGCTCTATTAAAAAAACAATACCCTTCCTCCAGTCGAGTAAAAACGAACTTGGTTTACATAGTTATACAGCCAATTTTTTATGAGATGAAATAATAGGATAAGCCAATGCTCGACTGCGAAATTTACCTTCATTAGAACGTGAATACTGCGGTATCATCTTAAACTATGGTTGTGAGTAATATGTAGGAAGTAGTCTCACATGATGCAATAACCCCGGCTGGTGTACTTTCAGGACAATCGTTTGTCTTCGTAACATTCCCTTCAGTGACGTGCAATGACAATGGAACAAAGCATCTAGTCGATTCACGCGAAATGATCCAACTACGATTCAATAAATTAAACATCATTGTTTGTGTTCTGCGATCTGGCCCCGACCTTACATCTGCTCTCGTATTACTCACACTCAATTATGATAACAATTTCATTATGATCCGTGACTCACTATGTCCATTTTCTATTTCCAGGTCACCAGTACGCCTGCCCAGCCTTAGTCTGGAATCATCACTGCCAACTATTCCGCCCTGCAGCGCGCTTAATGCCGCCATGCTAGACAAGATTTATATTAATTATAATAAGGAAGCTCAAGGGTATAGAAAGTTCGAGAGGTACTGGCGCACGTGACGTCGACGGGAGTGCAAGGAGGGCGACATGAGTCAGTCGCAGGACGAGGCCCGCGCGGCCAGGATACAGAAGTATAAAGAGGAGAGAAGAAAACAGCTGACGGCTAGAACAGCGACGCTATTTTCTGCTAATGTCACTGAGAGGTGAGTTCCCATTGATTTCCTTTGATATATTCATTTTTATTATGGTTTGAATAAATTATTTCCGTTGATATGAAAATTTACTCACGTATTTTGTTGTTAATTCCAGGCGCACGAAAAGATCAACCGACCTACCGCCCTCAGAAGATGTTGGTGCTCATCTTAAGTCTTCCTCGGAGCTAAATCTTAACACAGCTTCAACTTCAGTGCCTATTAGAACAACGCGTACGTCACGTCTCAGAGCTGCCGCTGCCAATCTTTCCGACACCTCGCCGTCTCCTAGAAAATCTAATAGAAGTTCATCTGTCCAATCATTACTTGAAGACGCCAAAATGAGATCACCCAAAAATTCCAAGTTACTAGATAGAGATAAACGAACGAATAGAAGACAGAGCAATGAAAAAGAAAACTTTAAGGGCTCGTCTTCGACGCGCTCGGATAAAGATTATGGTGCTATTAAGACGAAATCGAAACATTCCATTAATAAAAATATTTTAGAAAAAGACAAAAATAATTTTATAGTGACTAGTCCTAAAGGAAAGAATGTCGATGAGAAGCGCAGTTCTAAATTCGATGATAGTAGAAACACGAATTCCATAAACGAAGAAAAGAAATCGAATAGTGAGATAAACGAAAGAAAACACGAAAAACCATTACGAGTCAATAGTGAAGAGTTTTTTAACGATATTATAAACGATAAAGACATGTCTAATGGTATAGATGAAGATAAAATCGACGATTTGTTTAATAATCTTGTTGTTGCTGATGTGGAAGTCCAGAATGGTATCAGAGTTGAGGAGATTGATCAGATTCTGGAGAGTGATGGGCTCAAATATAGTCACAATAGTTGTATTCCTGCCGCTGATAAAGCAATAGATGTTAATGTTGATTATGTAGAAGATAGTGTAGTGCCAAAAGTGAAAGAGGACGTTGGAGGCTTGCTAGGGGCCGTGTGTGTGCGCAAAGTGGAAAGGTTCAGTGAATTGCTCAGCAACTTGTGTTCGCCTTGCGAGGCGGACATATTGTTCGAAGATATCCTGGTGGAAAATGGAATTGATGGTGAAAAACATGTGGTAAGTTGAAATTCGTACATTATTGAAATAATGATCGGCATGGTTGGCTATTTTGGGGGAACGGAAACCTTATTTTTTGATTAACCATAAGTTTAGTAACCATTAAATCGGAACGTATTTCGTATTTGAATAAAACCTATCAATACCTGTAACTAGCAGTCGGTATTTCTAGTGGTTCTATTGTTTTTGTACCGGCTGCTATAAACACTCCAATTGTATTTCTAAGTAATATCATATTAGTCATTTCGCACTTATTATTTGTGGTTTTTATAATAACATTACTCAATACCAATGAATTTATCATCGATATGTGCTTGAGTTTTTAACGTACGCAAAATATAGTAATGATGCTATTCGTTGGGAATTGATCGCGTGCGAAATTGAGTTTATTCATCAGTTTTGTGCTCATTCATCTGTCTTATCAATTAGTTTTATGTATGTCATAGTGTCAATAAACCTTTGAGAGAAAAGGCTACGTGCTCCATCCTATTTATGACGTCTTTTTATGTAAGTAACGAAAGTTCAGTCAAATAATCACAAATTTGTTAGGAAACCAAAACCCACGTGTAAGAAACAGGTCACTAGTGTGGGCAACCTCTTTTATTTTTAACAAGCTTCTGTTTATATTAAAACTTTCGAAAAACCATCCCTTTCCTACTACTGCTCTTCGAACCGGAGCTCCGGCAAACCGTTTTAGGCCTTCAGCGCCTCAGTATCGGGCATCAGCCCTACTGAGCCCCATCTACTAGTTATTTATTATGTTTTCGCCTGACGTAACTGATTGACGAGGAACTCGACTAGCAGCGCGACAGCGCGAATGCTGCTCATGAATATGAGCCTCTAGCATGGCTTGTATAGTCTACTAGTCAAATTGTAATTCTATCTCTAAAACCGTCTGTAACATGAAAAATGATAATTGATTTTATAAATAAATAGGACCTACCTACTTACATTTAATTAATCTGTAATTCAAACGTCAAAGGTGAAAACCCAAGTCAGGAATATGATTGATATTAATTTCATTTCATTGCCGAAATTTAAAAGTTTTATTCATGACAGCTTCTGTCCGTAACCAGTTTCTAATCCTAATTTATAGGTGCTATTCTCAAATTGGGTACACATTAAACCATACAAAACCACTTTATCGTAGTCTCGCCTTATATTATGATCTTTCTGCACATTCGAATGTCTATTTATGCTGGTTCACTTGGTCATACCCTGTGTAGCTACATCGAGTTATACAAAACCCTTTTATCATGGTCTGGCTTTGTATGATCTTTCTATATATTCGACGGTCAATTTATACTGGTTTTCTATAAGTTAATGTGTAGCAGTGTGTACCTATATTTACTTTCCCTGCCAACAAGTTTGTCTTGATTCTAAGTTGATTACTTAGTAGTATCTACTCTTTGATTAACTTCAGAACTAGATATTATTGTTCTAATTTCTCAGTTTTTAGTCTATTTGTTATTGTAAATTTAATTTTGTTGTTAAGGGCCTTTTGATTCGATTTCGCTTACAAGATTTCATGATAGAATATTTGCTGTTTTTATGTTTTAGTGATTGTTTAATTTAATGCGTTGGGATTTGTGTTTAAAGATACGCTTAAATCTAATTGTTTTTTTTTTTTTTTTTTTTTTTTTTGATTAGAATTATCGTCAGACTTCACGTTGTTCGGCGAATTCGCTTAATCGCTCGTTAGTCATGATAAGGGGAGTCCAGGCTTGAAACTGGTCGAATGATCTCGCGAAACCTTTAGTAAGCTATTCTAGGTACCTAATTAATTTCGTAATTATACTTAAAGTATATAAATACATACATACCAGTAGAGACTATGGAACGATTCAGTTCAGTCATCAATCTTTTCATGAATGCATTTTCATATGAATGGGGCCGTCGGTAGAGGGCGCTCTAGACGGACATATACTGATCATATTGGCGATATATTTAAGAAGGGCCAAATTAAAAGTACCCTTAACAGACGAGTATATAAATAACCGTGATTTAATGTACATGCTACCAATGTAGGTACTTGGTGAAGTTCTTTGGGGTGCGGTGCCAGAAGACCTCCCCGTGGTGCACCCTGGGTACGGGTGATAGTCTCCCTAACGGGGGTGATAGGGTTGGAGCGACTATTGTCCGTAGCGGACTTCTGGACAGGGCGGGCGAACCCGGTATGGGTTCTGGAGGCGACGGGTTTTGTCCCTGCGCTTCCGAGGGGTCGCTCCTCCGCCCGTCTCTCTGAATTCAGCAGAGAACGTGGCGGAGAGGCAAGGGCAGAGCTCGTTGAGCACTCACCCTGCCAACGAGCAGCATCGGGACACACGCTGTTCTCGATTGCATCTGTCGATATCGTAATCCGTGAAGAGATCATGTCTTATGACTCCGAACGGGACGAGGGTCTTGGCTTGGTCGCCCGGACCGCGAGGAAGATAACCTCTATAAAAAATTCCTCCAATACCAAGTTCTGGTGCACGGCGAGGGTATGCATGGCTGAGGAGTAGTGTCAGTCGTGAGCGCACCCCCAGCTAGGGTACCGGTGGACCCTCTAGTTGGGAAACAAATATACACTTACCCAGGTACAGGGGGCACTGCCTGGGCGGACCGTTTATTTCCCCCATACTCGTGGGAATTGTATGGAGTCTAATAATAAAAATAAAA